CTAAAAATGCAATCGTTCAAATTCCAAGATGTCGTGAAAGAAGAGGATCTTGAAGCAACCTATAGGATAGTTGGGGCAAAAAAAATACTTTATTTAAATACTTCTCTGTTATACAGTCTGAATGGCAATGGGAAGTTCTCAACCATAGGATTTTCTCTGTTTTGATATTTAAATGTAGTTCGGTTGAATCTCTTGGTAACTATAAGTGTATGCCTCAAAGTTTTGACGAAGAGAACAAGTACACTGCTCAACTTCTTGTTAAAGATACGAAAAAGAAGACATTTATATCTTCATTGATAAAACAATCTTTAGCATTGATGTTGAAGAGAAAAAAGGCAGACCAAAGCAGTTTAAAGCAGTGAGTTTTATCCATTAACGATACTTGTAGAGTTTCAATTCAGTATCATGTTTCTTAGCGTATATCAGCTACTGTTCTTTTATCTTTACAATAATTAACATTCATTAATAAAATAATTAAGATCATTCATTTTTGACAAATGGTATTTAGAAAGCACACTTTATACTGAAGTGAATAGCACTTTGTAAGAACGATGTACCCTCAATAACTTCCTCCATGGTCAATCTCACTATTCGTTGATAAAAGAGTAGCCCAAGAGTTGGCGGCGAGTAATGTTGACCAGCTGCCTTCCTCTGGTCTATCACTAGTAAGTTAGGGACGGCTAGAGCACATAACTATTGTGTAGCTTTGCACGAAATTCAAACCAAAACAAATCAAAACCGTACTACTGTCTGGAGGTACAATTTAAATTCTATGCAAACTTCAGAAAGGGATGGCGACGCCACTCTGAGACAAAGAATCTTAATAAACTTTCCACAAACCTTCCACGGTAAGTAGAAGCTGGCTATCAGTACCACGTTAATTCCAGAAGCATAAAAGACTACTGAAGCTGCCTTATGAGACATGACAGAAATATAGCTGAATGAGAACGTAGTGGTTCCATGTTTCTCGTGAAAACAGCCACTGATTTCTAGGTGTGATTGAAAGTTTATGAGTCGTTATCAGATTCAAATCCTTATTATTGTCTTGTTTACCGCAGTGGAAGATATTCCCGACTTTTCACAATGTTGTTTTGGGTCTCACTTTCTTTACACATAGCTTTACTTTCGCAGACAATTGCTTTGCTCCTGACTGGACTGGGAGTGTGGTTTTGGAGTACTTTGTTGGTCTTAAAGATTGCTATGCGAGTTTTCTTTTCTCCAGAGAATATTGAAAGCTACCTTTTCCTAAATTATGTTTTTTGGCTGTACATCGCTTACCAATCGTGTTGTATGAATGTCCTTCTTGGAAAAGGGGTTATGGAATTTCCTTCTAGTCACAAGTCCAACCGTGGTATTGCGCTGCCGAATGCCTGGAAATTCGCCGTAAACGTTATATATATATTGGTGCTAAATGTGTTGTCATGCAGCACCACCAGTACTTACACATCATTCCTGTAATGTTAAATTAACCATCTGTATTGTTAAGAAATGTTAATGTAATAAGAAGCAATTACAGTTATTTGACGAAAATCAAGTCTTTTATTTTCAAAATGAGCGCAGTCCCCTAAGTGGAAGCATGAGCCTCGTGAGAATTTAGTGGATATAGGAAGAGTCAGTAAATTGAAGTGTAGTGTTTGGGGATACCTTCAACCCACTGTTCACTGGAAACGGTCTATATGTTAGTGTCTATTATTTCTCATAGGTTTTGTTTGTTAAGTATGCAGTTGCAGCGATTAATATTATTACGTAAAGCAATAATAATTTAATACAATCTATTTAACTATGTTAGTAATTTTATTATTATTGTTGTTTGCTTTCAATACAAAATACAATACACAGGTATCGAAACCCGGTTTCTAGCGTTGTAAGTCCGCAGACATACCGCTGTGCCACTGGAGGGGGACTAAACAAAAGCATCACTTATTTCTTACAGCTACTCGAATTTTCTTATGAGTGTTCATGTATTTTTTCATTAACTTCAATACTAATGTACGTTTCTGTCTTTTTGACATTTTTGTGCGTACACTGTGACACCACAATCGTCAAAGAAATGTGTCATCATGGGTTTTCAATGCTAATGCCAATTTGTATTTTGAACAAGAAGATAGGTTGCACGTGAAATCGTGCCTATTTTGTTCCCTAATACTTGAAACCAAGTTTTTTTTCAAATTATGTATAGCTAATATGCTTTACATTTATGTGCTGCTAAAAAACACACAACTAAACCCCACTATTAATATTTAGCAACGTTTTTGCATATATTGTCAACTCATTGATGTATTTCAAAATCCAGGTGCTTAGGACGCTCGACTCTCAATCTGAAGGTCGCGGGTTCGAATCTCCCTCCTACCAAACATACTCACACTTTTAGCCGTGGGAGCGTTATAATGTGACAGTCAATCCCGCTATTCGTTGGTAAAAGAGTAACCCAAAAGTTGGTGGTTGGGGATGATGACTAGCTGCCTTCCCTCTAGCCTTTCACAGCTAAATTAGGGACGGCTAATGCAGATAGCTCTCATGTAACTTCAAACCAAATCAAACCAATTTACAAATTCCTCTATGCGGTTTGCATCTTGCTGGCTTTGGTTAATTGTCATCCAAAATATGAACAAACTAAGACCTTAAAATATCGTTCTTGCTAAAAGGAGCACGTTTAAAGCTTTCATGGCAGAATTAAAGAAATGACGCAATGCAAAAAAATTCATGGTGACAAAGAAGGATGTGCAATTATAATACTATGTCAGTTATATCAGATATCATTAAAAATATCTATATAATTTTGACATAAAAATGCAATTTCTAAGAACGTTATAAGCATTAAATAATTGAAACAAAAATAAGATCATATATTTTAAGTATTATTGTGGTCTTTCACCTGGAAGAAGAAATGAATTATTAATAATTACGACTGTTGAATTGTTCTTGATGTATAAAACAGTTTACTTTTAGAAAGAAATTCTTATATGAGCAGTCTCTGTTGATATTTGGAGTAGTTTTTTATGTGAAAACAAAACTACAACTCCTTGCCATAATGTGTAAATATGGTTTTGTTCTTGCACAGCAGCAGTCAAAATACAGCCGTTCACTTTTCTCTAGAACCTGAACAGAGATAAACAGATTCACATAGTTTGCGGCGTAAAATCTGGTGATGAACCAGTTCAATTTGAATGGTTTAGAAACCATAAGGTTCTGAAAATTGACTTAAACGTGTTCACACATAACCTTCCTAGGATGTCTGTGCTAATGATAAACAATTGCTATGTGTCTGATTTTCAAACTACTTGTGTTTAGTTCGGAACAAATATGGAAAATATAGCCACACTTTCCAATTCTTAATAAAAGGTAATATATGGATGTATGTATATATTGTTGTTTTTGAATGTATTTTTTCTAGCAAAATATCATTTTTTTAGCTTTTATAGTTTTGCATGCTTATTTTTTGTTCAGGAATCTTATTTTATTTCACTTATTTTTCAACCCTTCAATTCAATTAAATCTTGATACACATAATCTAAATATTGAAAACAAACGAAAAATTTACAATATATATATTATTATAACTTTCTGAGTTTTACTTAATATTTTCATGCCTTAATTATTCTATAAACAACTGGTATTTCGTTTCAGTTTTTAACGTTGACATTTCACAAATTTTTGAATTGTTTACCTGAATAATACTGTGGATAGGTCCGCCTGAGTGGAGGGGAAAACTTACGAATGTTATCGCTGCAATTAATAAAGATGTCATATTGAAGTACTCTGCATACGGTTATCCCACACCTGTCGTTCAATGGTGGAACTAAACAGTGAGTTATTATAAAAAAAAAGTTCTCTGAAACAGTTTAAACAAATAAAATAAAAACAAAACATAAAACAGTCTTTTTAAAGATTTACTATCAAAATATTCAAAACATTTACAGTAATTTCAAAATACAATTTAAATGGAGTTCTAATTTAGTTGGTACTTGCTGGAAACCGAACTGTAAAAAAATTAGTTTATTTCTATCAGGCAATATTTTTAATCGGGATAAAACATTAGACATCTATCTACGTACCATTGTGTTTTATAAACTGATAAAGTTGACTTAAAATACTATTTATTAAACGTTTTATAATTGACAAACTATTACAAGACTTTTTTAATATCTACTAAAGATGTTATAATTAAAAATTAATATAATGAACAACTTTATAATGGAAATGTGTTTTTCGAACAACAAAAATTAACCTTTCACCCCATAAGAGTGGGCCATCTTCAGGCATTGTATGATTAATACAAAATACTTTTTGTAATTAAGTATAGGAGCTTTTTGTTTGCATAAAAATATGGTTTTCGGAAATCCTAAATTGAAATAGTATGTCATATTAGCAAACCAGAAAACTAAAAAACTTGTTTCACCAAGGAGAGTAAAGATCTTTCAAGAGGATTTTTTGCATATTCATAGAGTTGAACTCGTTTTGCATGTAAAGTGTCTAATGAAATGGATAATTCTTTAAGTAAAACAGTGCATCTTGAAATCCAAGGTTCAAATAAGGTGTATGACATTTAAAAGATTAGCAGTTTATAAGATTATTTTATTTCAGGTGTTAAATAATTTATACATCGAAGGTTAGTCACAATGTGTTTTGTTGAAACATTATTACGGAGTTTAACATTATGTCAGACAGACTAAAATTGTGTCAGTACGTTATCTTTAATGATTAGTTATTTCTTAGGTTTCATTTGAGTTGTCAACTTTTTTATATTTGTTTTATGACCTTTATAACACCTAACTCAATTTATGAAATTGGAGCAGTTTTTTATAAGGTTTCAAGTTTCCTTTCATATACGTTTCTTTTGGGAGCATCCTTGTTTATGCAATTTCAAAAAATACATCTAATAGTTCCTTAATTCAAAGGTTTGACGTCATGTGGCGCTAATAGCTTAGGGTTTTTTTTTGCAATGGCCTTACGAATACGCCATATTTGATTTAGTTGTGTTTGTAGCAAGGAATAGAAGAATTTTGATCTTCCAGTTTTCGCGATCAGAGAAGATTACATTATAGAGTGATTAAACAGTTTAGTGTGCTTACTTTGATACACTTCTTAGATGTTATTCCTTCATCAATAGCCAATATTAGTGAATCATAAACTACACTATCCTGACCTGAACAGTTTTCGTAGAAATATGCAAGTCTTGAATACAGTCATAAGTTCACTACCTGTGGACGTGAGGAGAAGATCGTCAGCCAAGATCTTCATTTTTGCTGTTGTTTTCTACTCAAGTGGTGTTGCTCAAGGTAAGATATTGAATACTATTTGGACTCAGTTTAGGCAATTTAGCGCCTGTTTAGCTTCATTAAATTTTAATATCGTAAGCAGAAAGTTAAAACTTATATATTAGCAATACCTTTCAAACCAATTCTTATTTTTAAAATTTAGATACATATCAATTCACCCATTTCTGCTTTATTTTAGTGCCTCCAAAGATCCAACCTTTTGCCTTTCCTGCTTTTGTTGAAGAAGGTAAACATATCCAAGTTACCTGTGGATTAGAAACGCACGACACTGCTGAATATTTTAAATGGTTTAAAGATGGCCATCCTTTGCACTCAGGAACAAAGTGGACAATACTTTCTCCGGGTAGAGTTTCGGTGTTAATAATAAACAGTGCGACCACAGAGACATCAGGAAACTACACTTGTGCTGTTCGTAATTCTGTTGGTCAAGATGAATTCACTACTGAACTTCGTGTTAAAGGTAATCATCTTTACCATGATCAGAAATGTAGCTATTCAATTAAAAAAAATGTAAATTTCTTTACGTCTGTGTATCGAGATTATTTTATTAACTAAGAATAGATTGCTAACACTTACACATCGAAATCTTAAAACGGAAATTTTATAATATCATAATCTTTTAAAATGGAAGTAGTAAGTGCTTTATGTGACATATCCTAAACATAATTGTGGGTTCCTAGGCCCTCCAAAATGGAAACAGCAGCCTAAAGATATGGAATCGAGCATAGGAGAGACTGTGCGCTTTCACTGTAGTGCTTGGGGTTATCCAATACCCAGCATTATATGGAAGAGACAGAAAGGTGTGTATTACGGAGTACAGAAGCTGTTAAAATAGTGTAATTGAATGAAATGGCGGTATTTATATAAATCACGTTTTAAAACAATGGTTTAATGCAATAACAAATATTTGGAAAAGCTTTAATACCTAGTTTTACATCTTTTGTGTCTGTTTTACATGCTGACATTTTGAGAAAACTTTAAGTAGTTTTAGCATGGCTTCATTTCTACTCACCTTTGATTCACTTATAAAGGAAAAATTTACTTACTTTCAAAAGAAGATAATAAATTATAATCTATAATTTCAACTTTCGGTAAACATTGAGTAATCAGATTAAAATTGCTTATTTTAAAACAAGCACATTTTTACTCATTTTGAGTAGACGTTAATTCTGTTATGTAGTTTTTAGGTTTATAAGTTTTAGTTTTATTTGCAACTTGTAGTACTTATAAGTTTTGATAAAAAAAAAGAGTTGTACACACCATAAATGCTTTACTTATAGGAGAAAAATACGTCGATGTATCGAAAACTTCGGAATCCAATGGGACTCTTACCATTCAAGACATAAGAAAACATAATGCTGGATTTTACATCTGTGAAGCTAACAATGGTATCGGTGACAGTTTGAGCAAGCAAGTCGAACTATATATAAGAGGTAAACATAATATAACCTGCGGACAACAAGGGACGTTTGGTCTTTCAAGTCTACCCTTATACATCCTCTCTTCAGAAAAGTAAAAATTTAAACCTACCATTTATTTTTAAAAAAATTAATCGTTTACCCTTTTAAACAGCTATAAATTGCTGACCTCCACCAATCTTAACGTCAACTCATTTCGTAAGTCAATAGCATTGTTAGAAAAACAACTGTCTTAACTAGAGCTTAGCCTATATTTTCCAAATCTTAAACTTTTTTTTGTATTATATTCTTCAAAATATAGCACAAAGAAATTACTTGCCTTATCCTATCAATTCTTTGGATAATCTTGCAAACTTTAATACGATCACCGCTTACACTTCTTTTCTCAAGAGAAACTAAGTTAAGAGATATTAAATTATGATTGTAAGATAACACTTCATCTCTGGAGTCATCCTAGTAACCCTCCTCTGAACCATTTCCAATACGTCAATATAATTTCTTAAATAAAGAAGCCAAACCTTTTACAGTGAGGCCTAACTAGTGCTTTAGAGTTAACTACCCCATTTGAGTTGTTATCAGCATATCTGTAAATACATTCTAATATTATATTAGCTTTACAAATAGAAATAGAGTAATACTTTGATCGACTTATCTATCAATATGCTAAGACTCTTTTCTTCAGTTACACGTACCAAATTATGATAACCCACACTAGACTGTTATTACACAGTTTCTCATTGACCTTTTCTATTTGATCAGGTGGTTTGCAACAATTGCAAGTTGAGTACTTTCTATCATTGAAACCTCTGGTTGTAACCCATATAGATTCAAAAGTCTATCACTATCAAATAAAGTATAGAAAGAAATTCGAAAATAAGTATTATCAATGTTCTTCAAATCTTAGTAATTTCTATTATATAGACCTTCTGTTTCAGCTACAGCCTTGGTCTAATGTATTTTGCTCTTAATACTCCAAACATTAGAATAACAGAAACAAAGTTTATCATTAGTCCTATTATGTTTATCTTTTAATCTGTTGGATTTATCTTTAAAATTAGTTTAACTTGTTATGCTTTGAATCTTCTTATTCCAAACTCTTTGTTGCCCTAGAAACCTTTTCAGTTTGTTTTAGTAACTTCCCTAAACCCCTTCAGTGTAATACAAGTTTAGTTAAAACAATCTTTATTGAATGTATTCAGAGTTTCCCCAAACATCCTATTACCTAACATGCTAAAGTGGAGCCCATCTTTAGTATATAGAGCATTTTACTCCTAAAACTAATTCACAGGTCCGACCAGCCCACCTGTTGTTCTAAGCATATCCCTGAAATCCTTTCATCTAACCTTTGATCCTACTAAGTAATTCGTTTCCACATCAAGCCGAAAAAGGTCACATGGCTATTTCCATCCTTAGACCTCTGAATGAGTTCTTTCTATTTACATCTACTTGACTACAAAAAGAGAATCCAACATCAACTAAACTGTCAACATGCTATACAATATTCTGTACCCTTTAGCATCTTGCAAGCAAATTCTAGTTCTAATCTTTCTATACATTTCACTACAAATAACTTTATCCTTATACTTAATGAGAAGCTCCCCACAATGTAAACCTTTCACTCGTCTCGTTTCTCTCTTCAAGCAGCCAGTGGTTCAAATACATTAGACAAATACCTGAATGTTACCTGAACTTGTCTGTCTTTATAACCCTAACTATTTTACTAACTTGCACCTTGTAAACCCGGTACTCATATTTTTATCTTCACCAAAGCACCCTTTGCCCTAAACGTATCCAATCCCTATCTTGCTTTCTTATTCTCTGTCCCCAACCCACTGTTTTCACCGTCTAATCGCGCAATCTTCCTCAAAACTACTTACAACTTATCCTCAATTAAACACGCTCTGCAAGTGTACTTTACTATCTTTCTAAGCGTCCTTAAAGTTACAGAACTTTGAGAAGTTGTGAAATGTTAGTTTTGTAGAATATTTTTATTGAAATGTATAGTTCGAGAGCAAAAGGTAAAAATGTGCTCACTGTTAAATACTTTTCTCATGAAGCATGTAGTTTATAAAAGTGCACTTGATTGTTTTTTTCGACACTTGCCCAATAGTTTGCTGGATGTGATAATACTTTGTTTACAGTAGTTTTATGAGGAATTCTGTAAAATTTTATTATATATTTCTCACAAGGTTTTACGTCTTGTGGCACAGCTTGCTTTAAGGATATAAGTCTAAAAAAATTCTTAAATTTTATTGCTTTATGTTAAAGAAATCACTCATTTTTTTATATCGACTATTTTATGATAAAACGTTATGATGTTCAACGAATATGAAGTACTGTGAAAATGAAATTTAAACATTTTTTTCAGAACCAAAAGGGTACACCAATTACATTGAAAACAATTGTAATTATGAAATATGTCTAATACACAAATTGAAACTTCCTTAGTCATATGTTCTGAGTATTTTTTCTATAAAACTTTGAAGGTTTTTACTATAATTAGTCAGCTATTTTCATAGAAAGATTTACTAATTTTGTAAATGTCTCGGACTTACAACACTAGAAACTGGGTTTCGATACCCGTTGTGGGCCGAGCACAGGTAGCCCATTGTGTAGCTTTGTTCTTAACTTCAACCAAACAAAATTTTGTAAATTGTTATGTTTTATAAATCTATCGCCGAGTGACGCTTCTGTCGTTCAGCAATTTCGGGTATAAACATAATTATTAATATGTTTCTCAGAAAGATTACAGATTCGACTAATCTCGTGTTGAGCTTTTTCGAAAAGCAATGCTTGCGTCAGGAATTGTGAAAGGAAGACTTTTCAAAGTATTCAATGTAGACATAAATGTGTGTTTTCTAGTAACTAGGAAAGGTTAGATAAAAATAAATTAATATTAATTACTCTGTATTTATAAGTAATATATTCGAATATGCAAATGCTAAAGAGAGATTTCTTGTGCACTAGCATTATAATCTGTTGAAGCCAAGGTGTTTAACGAGAACATGAAACACAGTGTTTTTGGCTGTTCAAAGCCAGATCAGTTTAAAACCTAGTAAATACATGTAATTAACTTTCTGGAACAAAGTTTTTAATTTAATTGCAGTACTTAATATAAAAATGTCAAGTTATAGTGTTAATTTTTATAGACTACGTAGTTGTTGCAGCCATATTCAAAAGAAAAAATCGTTAAGCATAAATATATTGACATCAATTAAAAAAGTTTGTTTCAGATCCTTAACACGAAATGATTGTCTTTTTTACCAAAAAATTACGACTTTCTCTTTAAAATAATATAAAACATTCTAGAATATTTTAATGTGTGAAATATTTTTTTTTCTTTTCTAGCGTTTTTACTAATTTAACCATTTACTTTATCACAAAAAGTTGAGGAAGGAAAACAGGTAGAGGTCATGTGGAATTGAAGTTAAAGACAACCCAATTCAACATCCGTGGTTTAGGCACCGTAAACCTCTTCAGACTAGGAAAACTTGTACAATTCACAAACATGTTCATGCTTTATTGCTGTTAATAAGAAACGTTCAAGTAATTGATTTGTGGAATTGCACTTGTTAAGCAAATAACGAAGAGAGTAAATAAAGTTTCACATCCCAACTAGACGAATAAAGGTATCTAAGGAAGACCTTTTTCTGATATACATAGCACTTACATATTTACTACATTTCCTTGTTTTAAACGAATACATAAGCACGAAATTAACAATAGAAAAACTATTATCATTGGGACAAACATTCTTTGAACAAACACTCCAATATAAGTGAATAACTTCAAAGACTTCCATAATAAGATCTACAACAGCCATTACGGAAACTTTAACAATTAACAAGTAAACTCCATTAAAGTTTTAAAGGGTTATGAGAAACTGTAAACTATAAACCTATTCTTTGTTTTGCTCATACTTTAGTGCTGACGATTATGTACCTTAATTTAAAATCTGCTGTAAGAACCAAACAGTTGTACGAGGAGGTTAGAAGGATCAGTTTATTCTTTATTTTGCCCAACTTCTTTGTTGTTTTCATACAATTTTAGGTGAATGAAAGTGAACTGAGCTGAATTAAAAATGAGTAAATATTTCACTCCTAATGTATTAATTATCGTGATCAGTTTTTATAATTGTATTATAACTGATATACAGTTCCAACAGAAGTGCTTTGGCTTTTTTTTTTTCAAAAGTATTTTTGTCTTTTGATGTGCTAGCTCTTACTGAATATAATGTAGGATTTGCATTAGTGTCAAAGGGGATCACACGCATTATTAAGACCTAATATGGCCTGGTCGTTGGTAAAGAGTTGGCAGTGTGTAATGTTGACCAACTGCCTTCCCTATAGGCTATCACTCCAAAAATGTGTAGCTTTGAGCAAAATTCAAGAAACAAGCATACGCCCTATTAACAAACGTTTTCTGCTGTAGTACAGCAAGAGCGTTTGTGAAAGTGGACTCCATTTGTGGACTTTATTAAGTCTGAGAAACGTAACTGTCGTAATACTTTGGCTATACGAAAAACAAAAAACAAATGGTTAGTAAATTAAAAGCTTCTGACATGTTCTTTTGTTGACTCGGGTTAAGAGAAATATGCCCAAAAGTCTTGTGTTGTTTTTTTCTCAATTATTTGCAATGAGTTTATCTTTTGAATGAGCTATGTAATAATAAGTTGCTGGAATTCTTTACTTTGGGAATTTTTTCTTAGAACTCGATGTTGAACCTCTAAGAAGTTGGTGATCGCTTTGGTATAAGGGAGTTTTTGATGGCGTACTACTGTAATTAATACTGGTCTGTTACTTTGTCCCTTTGGTTTTGACTTACTGCAGTTATTTTTTTAAAGTTTCGTTAGTTGCATATTTTTATGAAGTAAAAATTCCTAAAAGGAGCTGTAGTTTATCCTTAACCCAGTTTTCCGTTTGAGAACAAGTGTTTCGATAAACACTACAGTCTACAGCGTAATAGCAATCCACAAAATAAAGGCCTACCCTTATGACTAAATGTTTTATTAAAAAAGTATGCAGAAAATTTGTGAGTATGATTTTCTCATTTTTGTATACATAATACAAAATGTATGCTGTCTTAGTTAATACTTATGAGTTACTTGATAACGTGTGCGTCAGCAATTTTAAGAAGTGTGCATTCAACGCACGGGGAAAACATGAGGAGACATATCCGCACCTCCCCTCCATCCTTTGTTGGGGTCCAAAGCGTACCTTGCAGGTTTCGTGCCAATAAGTCTACTGGTTTCTCAGATTTAAGCGGACACACACCCTGACTTTTGTCATGTAATAGTTTAGATATTTACCCCAAAGATTAGTTTTGGCGCCTTTAATACATTTTCGGGGTCATGATGTGCAAACGTTCTCTTTTGTGTTATGATATGTTAATTTTCAGCAGATAAAATATAGTTCAATCAGTTTTTACTAAAATGAGAGTGACACCAAGAAAAATGGAGGGTGACTAGTTAAATTAATTGATATAAAACACAACAATAGGATTTTATATACACAAGCATTTCTTTTAATGACTGTTGGTCTCAAATCTCTCTCCATCTTTTATCTTGAATATCACGATATAATGTGGTCATGGAACTTCACTTGTGAAACGTTTACACAAGGAGATTTTGGGAACTAATGTTATTTTCTATTGAAGAATTCAACTCGATTGGCTGGTGCATCCTCGACTTATGGTGAGAGTTTTCCTGCCCACCAGAATAGATTTCTGGACTAAGTTATCATAGTTTTCCTGCCCACCAGAATAGAATTCTGGACTAAGTTATCATAAACGTTTTTTTTTTTTTTTGGCTGTGTAAAATTTCCAATGAAATTAGAGAACTATCTGCATTTATAAACTGAAAGTACTGAGAATAAGATAAACAAACAATTTTCGAAAAGAGAGAAGAAACTACGTTTTACCTATGATGTAAAACACAAAAGTAAAATTATCAGTAAAAAATGTAATTGTGGTGTTAAAGTTTTCAAGGAATGTTTAAATCAAAATTTGTATGATATGCATTTTGAGCGTACTCGTTATGTTTCTTAATAGGTTATAATCGTCTTTTTTCTGTTGACGTGAATATATTTTTGTAGATAAAATTATTATTTCTAGAACTTAAATATAAATTATTACTAGTTTGATAGATTTAATTACAGATGTTATTCTCGAAAGCAGGTTTTAACTCAACAGTTATCGGCGTTATGCTGAAAAGAATAAGAGAAATTCTTAGTTTCTTGAGTAAAGCTTATGTATTTGGTCAAACCACTTATAACTGATTTAAAATTTTATTTTTGTAGTATAAAAGCTTGACGACATGTGGCGTTGAAGGCTTGTGGAAATTAAATGACGCCATCTTCTAGGGAACTACTTTGATAAAGAAACCTTTGTCAAAAGAAATACCGAGTAAATATATTTTGGTTATATATTCGCAACATTATCGGGTACTCGCATTTGTTATTAAACGTTAATAGCTCTTAAACAGTTGTATGCTCGGGTTTTCGAAAAATCTCTACACTTTTTAACAGTATCAGAGCTGTACAATGTTGGCTTACCAATCGAGACCATCACATCCATCTATCGTCACCATAGTCTCCCTGTTGAGATGGACTATTTTGTGCTATGTAATTAGGATTTATGCCCAAGGTAAGTTTCATTCATTAGTCTTGATATAAGTGAGAAGAAATTAAATTGAATTCTATATTTCGAATGTTCTTATTATCTTTTGTTATTTCAGAACCTCCAAAAATTCAACCGTTTTCTTTCCCAGAAAGTGTCGAAGAAGGTGAGCATATTCAGGTAACATGTGGTCTTAAAACCGCAAATAAAGCCGACACTTTCAAATGGTTAAAAGATAAACTGCCTATCACATCAGGAGAGGAATGGACTATTCTCAACCACGGAAAATTGTCTGTGCTTATTCTGAATGGAGCCACGACGGAATCGTCTGGAAATTACACTTGCATTGCTCAGAATTATTTTGGAATGGATATGTTGTCTGCCCAACTAAATGTAAAAGGCAAGTATTGGTTTCACGCAATCATATTTATTTATAGTTTTCCCACGATTTGGTTATAAAGACAGTACAGTTATATAAATATGATGTATAAATTTAAAAACTCAACAACTGGAAAAGTGGTTTCTAAAAACAAAACTAAACCTCCTTCAACAAAATACACCATATTTGTTTCTATTAAAAATAATAGAATTAACACTGTAATTTTTTAAAACGTCAGTTACCCTAAGTAATGGTAAGTGAATGTTGATACATTTTTAGGACGTCCAAAGTGGAAAGAACAGCCTGAAGATGTAGTTGTTGGAGTTGGAAATTCAGTCTCCATAACATGTAGTGCATATGGATATCCAATACCAAATATTGAATGGGCATTTCTAGATGGTAAGCTTAATTGTTTAATACACATAACTTTCTTGTTTAAACTAAAATAATAATACTATACTATGATTCATTTACTCTGTCGAGCATAGCTTTGTTAATGATTAGCAATGTTCCTAGAGTTTTGGAAAGTTTAAAGCGAAGTGCATATTCGTACAAAACAACCGTTAATAAGTTATAATAAAAAAACATTAGCTTCGCTATCTTGTTCTATGCTTTAACGTTTTAATTGTAAAATTGCTGATAAATTAAACATATATGGAATAATGTTATTATATGGTGTTTTATGACAGAAGTTATATATTTCCTTTATTGATTGTTATTATTTTAGTGCCAGCATTACTTCAAACTATAGAATGCTTATAATTCAAAAAAGTGGGATAATGCTCGACTTATTATCACTTATGTAACAGGTAATCGCAAGATTTTGATAAACGCCATTGGTCGAATAAAATTGTTCGAAAACGGAACATTATCCATCACGAACGTGATTCAAGAAGACGCTGGACGGTATTTATGTGAAGTTGTTGGATATTCTGACCACAAATTACAGAAGATTGTCCAGTTAACTGTCCGAGGTATTTGGTGAAAATAGTTCAGCATCAACTTCAACTTTTACCAAATGGACTGATTTAAATGAATGGTTTCTTGTTTTGTTTATTTAGGGGACTAACATTCGTGTAGTTCATAATCAGTATAAATCAGTTTACAAAACTATCTAGCCTATCTTCGTTCTTCTCGAAAAAAACCTATTTTCGTATTTTTGGAAAAATTAAACTGAATATTTCCAATCTCGGGTCTTTTAAATAGATGACTTTCGTACAGAATGTGTTTTTGTACTTTGATTGGTAAAACATTTTATTGTCATAGTACGAATTGCTATTAGTGTTGTCACATTACCACCAATTTTCTGCCTTCATAATCTATACGTTGATATAGAAATTGTCCATACCTTTTCCTTTCTGTACGGCCCGGCATGGCCAGGTGGATAAGGCACTCGATTCGCAATCTGTGGGTCCCACCAAACATGCTCGCCCTTTCAGCTGTGGGGGCGTTATAATGTGACGGTCAATCCCACTATTTGTTGGTAAAAGAGTAGCCCAGGAGTTGGCGGTGGGTGGGTGGTAAATTAGGGACGGCTAGCGCAGATAACCCTCGT